ATTTGCGGGGTGTGTAGTCGCGACCAATGTGTTTCGAAGAATAAAGTTGGTTCTGGAATGAAAACGTAAATTGAGCGTCTTTGGTGTGAACTGTATATCTTTAAGAATGCTTGCACAGTAAGAATTTTAAACGTATTTAGCAGAGAATGTAGGTTAGCTTCCATATACAACACGTTGTTTGCAACACACTTTGGCAGACCTAGACACAAACGCAACGCTTCTCTTTCCAGCAGTATTATAGGTCGCATATTATAAGCTCCACTGCCAGAAAACAATACACATCCGGATTCCATGATTGCCACACGTAAAGTTTATATATCATTATTAGCGCATCTCTTCTTAAGCTCGCTTTACGGTTTGCGAGCTTTCGCAGCCAACCCATGGCCCGTGTTGTCTTGGAGTACACATCATCGATGTGGCTTCTCCAATTTAATGTATCATTAAAGAGGAAGCCCAAATATTTAAGGGAATTCGCCCTGCAGAATGAGCTAATTACTATATAATAACGAGATGTTGATAGGCAGCAGAAAAGAGAATGCAAGAAGCGCACTTATCTTTACGTTCAGCGTCATATGAATGTTTTTGAGCCATCCTTCTATCATATTGAGATAATTTTGTAGACTCTGGTATAGTGATTGAAGATCAGTATTACTCGCAAAGAAAGCAATATCGTCCACGTACACATATAACTGAATATCCTTAGTCGATGGAATGGAGCTTAAAAAAATGTTCAATAAAATCAATAAAACTGGCAACAGGACAGCCCCCCGTCGTACGCCACGTTTCTGCTTATATCTATTCGGTGAGTACCCATCTTTGAAGCAGTAATATTCTCTACCTCTTAAAAACTCCGAAATCAACGCTGTGATGTAGTTAGAAAAGTGGCTTATATTTCATCTATTTTAATAAAATTGAATGCTCAACCCTATCTCACGCTTTAGCCAAATTTAGACTAACTAATGCACAGCATTAGCGCCGACGCCTTGCCAGTTGTATTCGGCTCTCTAAATCAACATGCGCAAACCATATTGAGTAACCAGATCTTAAACCAATTTGAATGGCGCTTAACATTGCGTTTCATTACTAATATGTTTCATTACCCGGGCATTCAAAACTCTTTAAATAAGCTTAACCACATTAGATGTGAGTGATATCGGCCTTATATTGTCTGAGGCAAATCCTATTTCCTGCTTTTTAAGAAGTGGAATCATTTTATACAGCTTCCATTCCACAGATATCCAAGGTTTTGCCAAAGAAAAATTCACCAGATTAAGTACTTCAGTTAGAAAAATCTCGAATGTTACTTTTATCATTGCATTGGTTACTCCGCCTGGTCCAGGTGCTGAAAGAGATAAGTGCCTTATTACCCCTGCTAGCTCATCTAAAGTAACTAACTTCGAATCCTCGCCCGCAATTTGGTTCACAATGTGCAGTGGTATAGTTGACATAAATCTATCTTGGAGCCCTTTCGCAATATTTTCTACTAAATCAGAGAGTTCACATGAAGAAAGAACGGAAGAGTCAATATTTTCAGCGGACGATAACATCTTTTGCGATCTTAGAAATCTGAAAAGAGCTTTTTTTTGTTTTTAGCCCTTGAAAGATAATCATATAGCTTCATATTATAGCCATATTTTGCTGTAATAATTGTGCGTTTGAAGTCTGCTGCTGCTGCGAATTTATAATTGGAACAATTTTTTGGACATTGGTTGACCAGCAGTTGTTTCTCTGCAGCTTTACGTTTTCTATAGCTCATCATGCACTCTTCATACCATCATTAACTAAGAGAACCTCTTGTGGCCGAGATTAATTTAAAAGTTGCGTCTTTTACTGATCGTTTTAACACTTCACACAGACTCATAGCGCTTATGTCACCTTGCATGTCCTTGTGGCAATTAAAAGTAGCCCTCAAGTCTTTTTTTCTAATTTTATATAGTTGAGGAATGAGCCGATCTTTTCGGCGACAAGTATTCTAGGAAAGTTGAGCAGAAAACTTATAGACAAGTGGTCACTCTTAGTAGCACAATCTAAAGTTTGTCACGAACATATATTTAGAGATGAGCTTGAAAATGTCAAGTCAATTACAGATTTAGAGAGACCTCAGAAAAAAGTAGCAGAGGACAAATTTAAACAAGATAAATTCTTGTCAATAGCCCATTCCCAAAGGCGTTTTCCGCTAAAATCTGTTTTGAAACCCCAAGCCACAGGATGTGAATTGAAGTCTCCAGTAATAATATATTCTTTCTGCAGGCAGAGAATTGTCTTGACTTCGTGTGTATTTCACCCGGCTGGGAAATATGCATTTACAAACGAGAAGAGAGAACCGTCGTGTAATATTATGTGTACTATCGAAATTTCACACCCTGGAGCCATACACCGATAAGAAATCTTAGCTTTGTGACTGAACTTAGTTGGTATCAAGACAGCAAGTCCACCACCTTTGCTAGGTCAGTCCAATCGATATAGGCGATATGTTTCTAGGTAAAAATTCTGGCTGGTTGAAAGTCAGGTTTCTTGCAGTGATATAATATCCGGGGAAAGTTGTGAAGAAAGGTATGATAGGTCTGTGGCTGCAGAAACAACAGATGTGCAATTCCACTGTAATATTGTTAGTTAACTTCTTTTGATGACAGAACCATAGCAGAAACTGCTTGGTTCGAAATGTCCTTTCACAAATGTCTTTCTTAGACATGTTCTCAAAGAATTCTTTTTTGGACAGATACTTTTTTTGATTTCGAATTATGCGAAGAACTTTTCGATGGGGGACATCATGTTCATTTCAGAGCCTGATGAGAGTCTATATCCATATATGCAAACGCTTCCGAATCATCTATTAGATCATCCTCTTCCGTTCCTTTGGAAGTCCCTGCCTCAGGAGAAACCAATCGCTGACGTGCTGTCGCACTTTCTATCTCCGTACGCTGCAATAGCACTGATGCCTGAGGATCCGGATTGTTCGTAAATGCTACACCGAGAATTTGGCACAGTTGATTTGAAATCAATTGTGCCAAGCTTTCAAAAAGATTGTTTGCGAGGCGTTCCATTGCCTTTTCCGTAGCCTTCCTTATGGCCTTTGCGATAGATGTTGCGAGAGATGCATTCATGGCGTTGGTATTACTTGCTGCAACACCTGCATACTTCGGATCTCTCCTGCGCTCCTTCAACGGCTTCTCTCCGAGAGCACCACTTGCGTCCTACATTATTCAATATAGCAAGCTTCCTTTCTTTTGCTGCACAGTCTGCAGAGTCTGCAGGGTGCCCCCCATTACATAAGCAGCACCGCTCTTTCTCAAAGCTGCACTTGCGGCTGTCATGGTTTTCTCCACACCGACGGCATCAAAGAACCAATCGGCACCCTCTCACGCTTTGTCCATATCGCCCCCATTTTCAACACTGCAGGGGTTTGAGGAAAGTGGCTCTACCTTATAGATCAGTGGCCTTGCACTAATTTCGGAAGGTCTCACTGTTCCTAAAAAGGTCACAATCACCGATTCCGATGGGGATTTGATGTTGTCAATTGTACGGGTGCACATGTACGCTGAAAATACACCCGCCGCCGAAAACAAATTGAGCACTTCTGCAGGTGTAAGGCTTGTGTCTACATTGCGGACTAATCCTTTCGAGCATGCGAGGTGTGCTGGAATAAACGGGCTTAGCGGATGAGCTGCGAATTCGGAACATTGCAGGAGTTCACGAATGTATTATAGATCTGCGGAACAGCACAGGATGCCTCCGCGACTAATCTGGTGGACGTCAGTGATCTTCTGGAAATATGGAGTAGCTTTTCGAAGCTCCGATTGAATCGCCTTTGGGTTCTTCATCGGCATAGTGCCCCCATCGGTAGGTACCAGAGCCACAGGGACACTGCTCGCCCCACTGCGTAACAAATAGTCAATGGGTCAATCCTTGGCGGGAGTGGAAGCTAACCAAGGGGAGTGCCCTTGACCGGGAGATGAAAATGACATCAAGATCGAATGACTCGCTTCATCTGAGAATAAACGATACAGTTACCGAAAATAACGAACTCTCAAGGAGCAATAAGGATACTGCCGCCCGATCCTGAGCCCGGGCAGCTTTTCACAGTCGAGCCTCTGCTGATGATGATAATGATTATGATTATGATGATGATGATTATCATGATGATGAGCCTTTAGATTTGCTGTCACTCGCTCACAAAGGGGGATTGGCCAAGAACCGGGCGGCAGGATCATCAAGTGAGTTAGTTATGAGTCAGGCATTCAGGTAGTCTCGTAGCCGGAAACAATAATAACAATAGACTAGCAAGGTAATCTTTTTGTTACCATTATCTGCTACTTGCCAACGACCGCCAGCTCCTTCCACGCCCCTGCGCCTTGTTTTACAACCGGCCGTGATTGACCGTGACCACATATTGCGGTCGACTTCAACTTTCTCCGAGTAGAATAATATGTTTTGTATCTACCAGGGAATATGGAAAGCCCCTCCTAGTGAGTACACCATACGTCAAACGTGTGATAAGTATAACTATATCGGTGTGATGAGTAAAGACCCAGAAAGACCTAAACATCTGCTTTTTCCCCCTAAATAGATGCTGAAACAACCCTACAAAGCAAAAATAATTCTGGTGATTTTCTATCCTTATGCGAAATAAATTATTTGTACATAATCAGGATGGTCTTTCATAGGTTACAATGAGTTTGATGTAAAACTTCCCATTTTGCTGATGCTGATGCTGATGATCTCAGATGGATGGCGCTCACCCACAGAGGGGGATGGGCCGAGAACCGGGCGCTTACTAGTATTAGTATGCGTACTAGTATTATTATTAGTAGTAGTAGTTCTAGGCGCTTACTGGTAAGAAGAGGTGAATGGCGAGTTTGAACGACAGTTTCTAAAACTATTTGTTGGCCAGTTGGAAGCTCATGCCAGTCGTTCAGAAAGAAGAAAGCGAAAACAGTTGAAGATGGCACTGCACGCGGCGCGCGTGCCGAATCGGCACCACGCCCAGCAAAAGCGCCAAGATGGCAAGCGCTAACACGTCAGGTGAGCCTTTATCACACCTGTTCTTAGTCGCCGTAGTCTCGGCGTAGCTTTCTGCCACCTACTAACAGGGTTGGTTAACTAGGCGTGTTAGAACGTAGCAGTCAGTGAAAGCGTTATTTGATATTCCGTGTTTCACGATCTCTAAAAAATTATTCAAAGCGACCAGCAATTGTAAAAGCCTGTTGCAAAGGCTGATATTCACAATACGTTTATGTCTTCTTGAGCACAGTGGCTTTGCACTGGTTCAGTTGTGCGAATCGTGTTGTTCTGTTAATTGATAATGTGGTTCATCCTATAGCTAGTACATCACCGTATTGCTATGAAGATGTCACTTGTGTTTATTCACGAGTCTCTAATGTATTATAGCCATACTTTAGCGCATGCGCATGCGCACTGCGATGCAATCATGACTCGAGCCTTGCACGTAATCTTTGGCTCGATGATTTCCTACTCATCAAAAGACATCCCGCATTCAAGGACTGCACGACAACTCGCGATGTGTCCACTTTTTACTGTAGCGTTATCATAACGCTAAGGTAATGTAAGTTTTATTGGGTGTTTTACAAGTCAGCATAGCAGAATATTATAAGAATAATATATTTAGCTGCTACTCAGAATTATAACTACAAGCAATATCATGAATATGTTCGTTTTATTATTGTGTTTTGCTCATAAGTGAATAAGAGCTATGTGTACCAGTGCGACAAGCTTAAATGTTTTTTGCTCAGTTTCATACAAATCTGATCGATATCATTGCGATACATGTCTTTGTGTAGTTTGGTACAATAGTTTTTTTATTTTTTCTGCTGCAGAAAGAGAAACAACACCGTCTCCAAAAAATGACCAGCAAAGTGAGTACACACTTAGGTACCGGATTAGGTTAATTAATTTTTTTTTAGATTCATATTCACATCTCGTAGTTATCAAAAACTGCATATTGAGAATCAATCATCACTCAGATTTGCGTTTTAATGAGGAACAAAATTTTGAATAGTGATCTGCTGAGCAAAAGCAGGCAATACGCACCACTGCTCTTTAAAAAAAGTAAGGACGATGAATTTGGCTTTCTTCAGGCCCTGCAGCAGCTACACCGTTTGATGATGATCGTTTGGTGTTAACCTGCAGTTATGCATTCACAAGCTGAAGCAAGCAATATTCTAGCAAATCAGTTTTCTAAAACTGCTGTTGATTGATCATAGACCATTAATTATTTTCTCTGAATAGGAAGTGACTTAATTGCCGATCTCTTTTTAACTGTATAAAGCGTGACTTAAGTAAGCCTTTACTTATTTCTTGATTTCTCAGAGAGAGGAAGCACCGCAAGCCAGACACCAACATCCACTGGCCATGGCAAGTCCACTCACTCTCCCCACATTTTCACGCGTCTCTAGTGTATTATAGCCATACTTTAGCACATGCGCATGCGCACTGTGATGCAATCATGGCTTGATCCCAGCCGCAGCAGTCGCATTTAGGATAGAGATGAATGCCAGAGGCTCATATTAAAATGTAAACATCAGATAATTTTGCAATAATTTAACTGGACATGGTTCGCCAATATTTCTTATAACCGACCGAAATTTATTGCTTCGTGCCATACAACGTAACGAATAAAAGTAGGAAGATATCACGTAAAAGTACGAAATGCTTAGTTATTAGCGGGATGCTCCAAATGCAAATCAAGGTTTTGTCATTCAGGAGAAAAACTTTGTGGAAGACTACCCTTTCGCAGCATTATTTTTAGCAATGATTGCAAGAATTATTCTTTGCACTAAAACTGGTGTGCTTGCAGATGGCTTTTTGAGTACTTGAGATGCGCTTAACAATTCTATTGGCAGGAATATACACGGCATATCTGCAGCTAGCTATCCCACTCCGTGAACATACAGTCACGCATTTCCTCATACCAAGGGGATAATACAGCTTTGATTCGCTTCGTTTCATTTTATTGTCTGTTTTAATGTTCTTGCCTGTTCGATCAAGGTAGTTATTCGTACATAGAAAAACTCGATGGACCGTTTCACTCTTAAAACCTCGTACCTTGGTTGACCCTGATCACTACGCTGTCAAGCCTAGTTCCTCTAAAAATGGTGATTCGAGCTGACAGATTACGAATCTAGAATTCTAGCAATCTAGATTACGAATCTAGTTCATTCAAAATAGTGGTTCTAGCTGACAGACATTTCACGCTGCATCTTTGGACTGGGACCGGTGGGTCACACCTTTCTTTCAATGATTTACTTCTAAATACTGATAAAGAAGGTACCAGAAAGTTGATATAATAAAAATCAGGACAACTTCTTCGCAAGAAACACGAATAGAGTACATGAATGAAAAAAATCGCAAAAGAATTTAGTGAAATTGCGCGAAAAGGTGTAAGGGCTATTGAAGGTAATTCACAACCACGTTTCAGTAACACTAAGTTACAAAAGAATTCATATGTATTTGATAAAAATTGAAGTTTCTTAGTAGAAGATGAATTTCAACCGGTCAGGGCATCGAACCCGGGACTTTGCCTTTCTGATATGGTCACCCTACCAATTGAGCTTACCAAGGAAGCTACTAACTGGCTGCTCAAGCGCGAATCAGGGAAAAACGCGAAGCACAAAGACAAAAATATTGCATAAGAGTTTTGTGTCATCTCGCAAGATGGCAAAGAGTATTAGGAATAAACATTCGTGATTGGTAGAGGTGTCTCGGTGGATAGGTTTGCACAGTATTTGCTCCCTCCTCCCAGCTGACAAGGGCACGGCTACAACATTCTCGGACTCGGAGCTGCTGCGCAAGGTGCAGTTTCCGGTGCCAAAGGGCTCGCGCGAGGCCGTCAAGACTGCGCCCCCTGGAAGCGGCCTCGCTGAGGAACTGCGCACCACCATATGCTGGAATGACATATCTTGCACAGTGCCCATCGTCAGAGGTACGCCGTGTTCTGCATTTTAAGTGTGAATACACTTTATAAGCGACCCCAAACCATCCACCGCCGTCGGCGGCGTCCGCAGTCTTCTCTTTATCTTTAAAAGAAAGAGGACTTGGGCGGGCCGCAGCGCGACGCTTTACCGAATAAGCCACGGACGCGACGCTGATATCGGTGTCAGTAACGCGCCTTATGCCCCCTCCCCCTTCGCTCGCTCCTCCGCTCTCCTCGCTCGCTGCAGCTGCGTGCGCACCCCTCTCTCTCGCGCGCCCGCCTTCTCTCTCAGTCTCCCGTCGAGAGCGGGTCATGAGGGGGAGTAAAGTTAAAATCCGTTGGCATTCGCCAGTGAGTTAACGTAAACTCCCCCGTGTGATCAAATTGCGATTCTCAGGAACCATTACACCATAAAGGCACCATAGTGTGATTAATAAATATAATAGTGCGAATTAATAAATACCCCTCATAGCATCACCCCGTGTATTAGCACTTAACCATGTTCACCCTCGGGGAAATGGTTAGGAGTTTTTTCTGCCACCGTACGCACTGCAGAAAACTAGAAATCAAGAGAAAAATATTTTGACCACGAAGCTGATTAAGCCGGAGGGTGGGTGTTCGCCGGAAAACCTCTATGAGTGATGGCGTCACCATCCATCGCCTAGCAATGTGCCATAAGTAGAACACGAGGAGGTCCAAATTCGGGTACCCTGGGTTCGAAGGTGGACATAACAAGCTTTCATGGGAACCACACGATTGCGTTGCTATGAATCAGAGAACCAAAAAATGACGGAACAAGAAAGGAAGAAATAACGGGAACAGAAAAAGAAAGAAAGATGTAGAGAGAAAAGTTTTAAGGAAGTGGTTGCTCCCTTTCCTCGAAGCAAGCTTCAAGGATGTTATTTTAAGTTGCAGCCCTTAAGAAGACACTTTCGCTAGTCGAAAAGTCAACTTCAACGCACACACAGTATTACGGCTTTTTCAACAGAAGTTTTCATCTTCCGCCAACTCCTGCCTTTTCTCGTAGAGAGACAGAAGATGAAGAAAGAGCAATAAATGAAAAAAAATATGCACAAAAGACTGTATAGCCTTGTGCAGCTCAGTATAGGGAGTGAGTGTAAAAGGAAAGTGAGGGTGAAAAGAATAGAAAAGATGGGAATGGCTTTGAGGATATTGTAGTCAAGTATAGTATAGTATAGTATAGTATAGTATAGTATAGTATTTAATGGTATAATATGGCATAGTACAGTATGGAGAGTATAGCATGGTATGGTGTGGTATGGTGTGGTGTAGTATAGTATATATTATTACAGCAAGGGAGTGTGACTTAGATGAGTGTGAGAAGGAGGAACGTGAAGGTGAGGAGGAGTGAAAAGAATCAGGAAAGAGAGCAGGAAAAAGCCACTGGCCTATCTGTTTACACTGTCGCCGCTTTAATGCGTAGCTGCCCTAATACTTTCTTGTTTCAGGCCATTTGTTTCTACACAGTGTGTTTCATAGCCAAGTAATTACTGTCATGGTCACTTTAAATTCTTTATGCTGTTGTTGATCTTTGAGCTATTTCTATTTACACTTCCGCTTAACGTCCACATAAGGGCACCTGCATTTCTGGGCTTTAGTGTGTGCATTTTTACGCTGTAAATTGAGCTTTACGAGTGAAAAAAGAAGAAAAAAAATACTCATTGATTGGTTGACCTTCCTGTTTTTCATAACGCGTACGGAGCAGGTCACATCTTTTGTGACTTAGCCCCGCTCATTCGTATGTCACTGCAACAGCTTGCACTCTAACCACTGGAAAGAGTCTGCAAACATTCGAAGGTGTTCTCATAGCTCGACTTTACAAAATATCAAAATAAGTTTTATTAGCATTTTTTGTGATAGCTCTTTATAACGCATTATTTGAACTAAATATGTGTCCGCAACATGTACAACAGAACCATTTTTTTAGGTCAACTGTCAGCAGAGCGCACTGTTGTTGCAAGGCTGTACCAACAGCGAAGCTTATGGCCGTCCTGGATTTTAAATAACAATGACCCAGTTTGCATGCTCTAATTAAGATGTGGTTAATTAGTTTTCTGGTCATGTGCAACGAAAAGCTCTAATATGCTGCTGAAAATTCATGAAATATACGTAGTTATTTATTTATATTTAGTTTATTATTTATACATACTGCAGCCCTTATTAGGGCTATTGCAGGAGTTGGACATACAAATGATCAGGTGATAACAAGCAGAAACAAAACATGAGCATATGGCACAAATTTGTGGTTCATAGTAACTAACACAAGGTACAGATGAACAGAGCAAGAGCACAGAAGCAAAAGAACATGGGAAATATCCTACCTAACACGCAATGTGAAATTGCACTCAGAAACTGCTCCAAAGGAGTCCGCGGTTACCGCCGGGTAGCAAGTTCCAGCGCTCACTAGTGAATGGAAAAAAACTAATAATGAAACAATCAGTTTGGGGTGGAAGTGGCGTAATATTTAGCGCATGTTACTACTGGTGGAACAGAGGGTGGTGTGGCAAACTGCAGATACCTGTGGAGCGAGGGCAAGCCCCTAAGTTGGACGTAGGCGAAAAATCCCGGTCATATCTTCGGCAGATAAAACGGACGGCTTTTTTTTTGTATGGGTTCTAGTTTTGCAATGTCGGACGCTTTGTGTGGATTCCACACGACACAACCGTATTCGAGTATAATGACCGTACTAACGTTTTAAATGTTAGGAGCTTGGTTTCTTTTGGTGCTACACGGAGAACGCGCTGTAAGTAACCTAATCTCTTCAGGGCTTTATTATACGTAATATCAATGTGTTTGGACCATGACATGTTGTGAGTGAAATGAAGGCCGAGGTACTTATATTTCATTTTTCTTCTTAAATGACAACCATCGAATGAGTAGGAAAATAGATGAGCGGATGACCGAGTAGAAAATGTCATGCACACAGTTTTTTGGAAATTTCCATACATTTGCCAGGTTTGGCACCAAGTGCAAAAACTGGAAAATGAGTTGTTCAGTTTTTCGTGATCCTCAGCAGAAGTGATTTTTTGATAAATCACGCAGTCATCGGCGTATAGCCTAATCTGAGACGTTATGTTACCGGATATGTCATTAATAAATAATAAGAAAAGAAGGGGTCCAAGTACTGAGCCCTGCGGAACACCTGAAGTTACGTCAGCGGTACTGGATGCCGTTGAGTTAAAAAATACATACTGCGAGCGATGTGAGAGAAAACTAGATATCCAACCTACGAGCAGCGGGTTTTTTAATATGAAATTAAGTTTAAGTAAAAGTTTGGAATGGAGAACTGTATCGAAAGCTTTCGATAAGTCAATAAAAATAGCATCTACCTGATAACCCGAGTCAATGGCTTCAATAACATCATGACTAAATTCGGTAAGTTGAGTGATTGTACTGAAACCGCGTCTAAAGCCGTGTTGAAACTGGTTTAGAATATTATTATCTTCCAGGAATTCTACTATGTGTTTATATATGACGTGCTCCAATATTTCGCATAAGTGAGATGTCAAGGAAATAGGCCTGTAATTAGCCGGCGAGGATTTGCCTCCAGCTTTAAAAAAGGGGAGCACTTTAGCAAGCTTCCATAATAATGGAACTGTTGCTGTTGCTAGAGATTTTTTGTATATTATCATAAGGTAGCGGCTTGTACATGAAGCATATCGTACTAAAAAGTTGTTGGGAATATTATCTGGGCCAGGGCTTTTTTTACTGTCAAAGTTAAGTATCAAATTTAGAATGCTTTCTTCAGATAAACATACGTCACCAATTGAGGGTGCAGGGTTGGCCAGTGAAAAGGTAAGTGTTTGAAAAGTATCAATGGTGAAAACAGGTTTAAAATAAGAAGTAAAATAATAATAATACAAGTTTCACGCAATACATAGCGAACTTACAATACCTTATAGTTATCTGGCAGTGACGTAACGTGATTTGTACCAGTAAAAGCCTTTTCTTAGAAGGCTTTTTAAAATAATTCTAGAGGTGCCTTGGGCGTTAGCTTGTCATAATAATGAAACACAGCGGCGTCCCTTGGTTTGTATGGGAAACTTTTTATCTCTTTCTGCCCCTGCATTTTTCACGTGTAGTTCTGGATGCAAATTAGTTTACTTCGCAAACTGCACCTGAACATTTATCCGATCACAACTCCTTGTGGCATTGCGATAGTTATAGCACGAAAACAGAACGACGACACAGAGACAAGAAGGACACGAAGGACACTTGTCCTTCTCGTCTCTGTGTCGTCATGCTGTTCTCGCGCTATACCTATCATCATGTCATACCAACTATCCCAAGCTGCCACACTCCTTGTGGTGGTTTCATTCATGCAATGAATTATCCATTTGCAAAGTTCCAGTGTGCCGGCCTCGCAACATAGCTCGTCGACCAGCTTCGAGTCGACAACGTGTGCACCGAGGTGTCTTTAAACACGCGGCAAAAAGCGAGGACGTATTTAACATTACTTCCTTTCATTCACTTACCCTCACAGGCATATTTGAGAAGACAGTGGACTCAATGACCAAGCCCATGCGGAGGAAGACGGCTGTGCGCTGCATGAGCGGCTGCGCAGGACCGGGTGACCTGGTTGCCATCCTGGGTCCACCAAACAGCGGAAAGTCCACGCTGCTGAACATACTGTCGGGATACTGGTAACGTGGCGTGCGCATAACTATATCTACGCTGTGCACTCTAAGAAGACCAGGCATGCAAACACAGGATACCTTTTAATCGTATCCTTTTAATCCCCTTCTCTACCCCCATCCCTTGTGAGCTACTGTTGGGGTGTCCTCCTCATGAAAGACAGTTACGGGGCTCACTTTTTCTTCTTTTCACTTAAAATCACTTTTCCCCAAGGAAGTCAGGACACCACTTCTTGCGTCCATGTGGGCACGCCCTATCTTTTTGGAGCGAATACGCACCAAGTAGCACCTCTGCTCTCTGGTATTTCAGGCTTTATATCTACGCTACATGTTCAATCAATGAATTTGAAGCCACTCTCCCTTCAAATATCGCCGCTCGCTGGCATCTGGTGTAACAACTCATATCTCTTCTACCTATAGCGCGTTGAAGCTGTGGAAGTTACTTGGCAAATATTATCGTTCAAATTAGTTTGGAATACCTCCTTACATTCTCCTCAGGGTCGACGACTTTGTATACAAATTGCTTTCAGAGAGGTCCAGTGCGTGGCTCTGGACACTAGAGCCATGCGCTGCTACTCTTTATTCAGCTGCAAGCTTTCATTCATGTTTGAAATATAGCACAAAAACCGAACATGCGGTAGGTTTATGCTTGATATTATTTCGGCGTCCCTCTCAGCCTATTTTTGCAAGAAGACGGTGGCTGAAAATGGCCGAATGGCTGTTGTAAGCAAATTTGGCTGAGAGTGTACAAGTCATAAACACGTAATAAGTTTCTCCTATGCACGTATTACCACGTTTTTGCGGAACGCGTTTAATATTACAGATATTACCTCCACTGCAGCGTTTAATTCTCAGAAAATCTCTGGCAACCACGAAATGTTACGCCGATTCTTTTAGCCAATATCTAGGGAGCCAACTACCACCAGTACTAGTTAATTCTCGAACAATGAAAAAATAAAAGGTCGCTTGGCGTGTTTCTGGCATGTACGGATATCAATTCGGCCTGACGCCACTGAAGTCGACGCAATCGCACCAGTCATGGCGACGGTCCTCCCCCCCCCCCCCCCCGCTACTCACTTTCACAAAATGTTGGTCTCGGCTTCATTATCTGAAAGTACCGCGCAAGGCATGCTCGAAGAGTTCGGTGAAACAGTATTTCAGCAGCCGCCAGCTTCCCCTTCTCTTTTTTCTCATTCCTCATCTCATTGCTGGGTGATCATTCTTGCGTGAAGCCACTCTGGCCACCGCTAATCTTCTTCGAGTACATGTCACTCGCATTAATCACTGTCGTCCCCAGCGTGGGGTGATGGATTTCACGGAGGTCCGATTTCGCTTCTAGTTCCGTGTTGTTGGCGCATTATTGAATATTGCCTTATCGCTCCAACACTGCACGTTCATCTCTCTCTCTCTCTCTTTCTTTTTTTTGCTTTTCGAACTTAGTGTTGTAGTGTACCACCGGGATTCTTGACGGAGCCATTAGTCTCGGTAGGAACCCTTCACTAGCGAGAGAAAGGTACGTGCCAGCTCGAAGGTTGTGCGCCTCGTGTGTCGGAGAAAGCTTCTTGGTGCTTTCTAAAGCATTGCAAGATTAGAGCGGCTCCCTTATCGTACTTTCTTTTCAGATAAGCAGGGTGTGCTTAGATTTCCTCACTTTAAGAGTGATCTTTGGTGCCTCTCCCTTTGTTATCTGAGCGTAATTTTTGTATGCTGCCTAAACTTATGTTCATGTTGCTGCTTATCATTATTTTCTCCGTTTGCTTCGTAAGTCTCTAATAGTTGTAACTAGGGTACGTTAAAGTACTGTTATTTGGGGTTATTTGACGATCTCTGATAACGCCTGCAGACTCCGCCTGTGCTTGCTCACTTTGATGAGGGTGCTTCTACCATGGTCCACACAGATGCAAACAACGTGGCTTTAGGCGCTGTACTCCTCCAGTGGCAAGACTAAGCCGAGCGTGTGATTGCATATGCTAGTAAGACGCTCTCCCGTGCCGAGTCCAACTACTCCACAACGAAAAAGAGTGTCTTGCTGTCATATAGGCGGTTATAAAGTTCCGTCCAGTACCTCTATGGTCGTTCCTTCCACGTAGTCAGCGACCATCATTCCCTCTGCTGGCTGACCAACTTGAAAGTCCCGGCTCGCATGGTAGATCTTACGCCTTCAAGAGTTCGATATGACGGTCGTGTATAAGTCCGGACGGCAGCACGCCGACGCCGATTGCTTATCAAGGTCACCGATAAAGCACTGCGATGACACAGAAGATGACAGCATGGCGTTTGTAGGAGTCGTCGACACCACTACGATTTCGTGCAAGCAGAAAGAAGACAGCGAGTTGCTTCCCCTTATTGAATTTTTGAATGGCCGGACAACAACCGTCTCTAGAAGATTTGCAAGAAGCCTGCCGTCATTCTGCTAACGTAGTGGTGTTCTCTATAAGAACTTTTCTCCCAGAGGAAGCACCCACCTACTTGTCGTTCCGACGTCAATCCGTGAGGAGATACTTGGTGCTTTCCACGATGAGCCAACGTCTGGTCATCTCGGATACACACGCACATTGGCCAGAATCCACTGGCCAGAATCCACTACTGGCCAAGATTTCCAGCTATTGTGAAGCATTACGTGCGCATGTGCCTCGATTGCCAACGACGAAAATCGCCACCGTTAAAACCAGCTGGACTATTACAACCAATTCAAGTGCCCACGGTACCTTTTGCCCAAAGTGGAATGGATCTCCTCGGACCATATCCGACTTCCCATGCTGGCAACTAGTGGGTAATAGTCGCCACTGATTATCTTACGCGCTACGCGGAAACAATGGCTTTGTCAAGTGACACTGCCATTGAAACCGCACGATTCTTCGTAGAAAATGTTGTCTTGAGGCCCGGTGCTCCGACAATTATAATAACGGATCGAGGTGCCGCTTTCACGGCCGCGCTCCTGAAGACAGTGCTTGAGCTCAGTGGAACAGCCCATCGGAAAACCACTTCCTATCATCCACAAATCAACGGCTTAACAGAACGTTTCAACAAGACTATTGCCGACATGTTGAGTATGCACGTTGACGTGGATCACAACAACTGGGACGACATTCTACCGTACATCACGTTCGCCTATAATAGAGCGCAGCAAGAAACTACACGAAGAACGCCGTTCAGTCTCTTTCATGGCCGTGAAGTGACGACGATGCTTGACGCCATGTTACTGCACGACTGCAATGACATTGATTTGGACGCTGCATCTTTTACCCAACGAGCAGAAGAAGCGAGGCAGCTTGCACGCGTCCGAATCACCCAGCAGCAAAGTTACGACGCCCAACGTTATAATCTGTGACACCGACATGTCGTCTATCGGCCCGGCGACAAAGTCTGGGTATGGAGTCCTATCCGCCGTCGGGGACTGTCTGAAAAATTGCTGAAGAGGTATTTTGGCCCCTACACAGTTTTACAACGCCTCAGCGACTTTAATTACGTGGTCGTTCCTGACAGCTTCTCGCCAACTCGCCAGCAAAAACCAGAAATCGTGCACGTTGTGCGAATGAAGCCCTATTTTTCGGACTGATTTACACCATATATCTACTACACCGTATTTTGTACAAGAGCATCGGGACGCTGCTTTCTGGAGGGAGCAAATGCCACATTGAATATGCAGCACCAAGAGAACAACGAAGAACACGCGCAGCGAGAGAAAAAAGACGAGGTTCTCTTCCGATCAGTTTGCTAGTGTTCTGGTACAATTAAAGTGAGTTTCCTGTATTCAAATACTGCTGTTTCTGCATTGTGAGAATATATTTAAAAATTACACACGGTTCACGTTTGTTACCCACACAACCTTTTAAGGGTGAAGATTTTTACGCCATGGGTCATATGTCCCGTGTCGTCGTAGTCGTCATAGTAGCCAGTTGCATTATATTGCATGTGAATAAAAACGGTGTCACAGCATATCCATGAAGTTAATGATGAGTAGAATGAAGCGCCAGTCAGTCTGTCCGTGCGTACGTGCGTCCATTCATCCGACCGCTTTGCCCCCCTCGTCATCACTCACCTTGTCAAAATGCTGTAATTTTTTTTTCTGCCATAGATAATGTGTTTGCCGTTACACTCTTCGGCAGACGGTGAGAAGAAATTAAGAAGTCGCTTCATGTGCACTCATTGTGGTCTACCTTCTTTCAACGCTAATCACCATTGGCTTCGGGAGGTGCCTTGTTATGCCAAAGTTCAAATCGAGGCACTTTATCATGATGATTGGGCACTTTTTCAGTCAGGTGTACTTAGACTACGCCTAATAAAATCTTGTTTTTTCTTCAGTTATCGATTTTAACGTCAGCAGGGAACAACAACAAATGTTAACTGAAACTTCACGGCAACAAAACATACCATCGTTTCTCTCTCTCTTTCTGTCTCTCTCTTCGAACAAGGTGAGCATTTCTTTTGTGGCCGCGGAGTTGCTAATTAGCGTACCTCTAAACGATAGGAGGTGCTCTCACCCCGAGCTCCCCGTCTCCCTCCCACTTTTTACTTGTTCAATCAGTGAGTTCAGCTCCAAAGTGCGCTAGACATTACAGAAGAGCCCTAGGATAGGCGAAGCACCGCTGATGGCACTTGCACTTTCGCATTACTGGCGCGTACATCTACGTCAAGCACAGTGCACCCTGGTAATGTTTTCTTTTTTGGGGGGGGGGGGGGAGGGAAGGGGAACCATGAACAGCGTTTCTATTGTGCTCGCTTGTTTCACCCGTTTCCTGAAACCTGCAGCGCAACTGTCGGAAGCAAACGGTAGTTATAAATGGAGAGTTGGGATAACCTTTGAGGGAGGGTTTGGTTAATGAGGTGTCACGAAGATAGCGAAGGAGTAAGTAAACTTATACCTAGATATGGCAAGCTTGCACATATTTCATCAAAGAAAGGTCTCATTCTTTATTTCTTAAAATCTTAATTTCTCTTTTACGAAGTAGTGATGCAGCGTTGTGTCAACACTACAATAGCAGTGGGCATTAGAAACAGCTGTTCAAGTAGTCTGAAAATTGTTTGGACCATTTTTAAAAATTATTTTACGAATTTTCGCTGCCAGCTTAAAGCAGGTACACTGCTTATCACGTGTGTTCTTTGGTGACTTTTGTATACCTTACATGGCTGTGAATCACGGAATTGTGGAATATACGTACAAGCCCAGAGCATTTCAAAGTGACAAAACTTCGATGTGACACGCCCCGGCATCACCTAGGCATTTGGTTCAATCCTGCATACGAACTAAGACTGCTCCTCTGAGTATTTACATCTCAGTATTCAAACCAAGCTCTGGTGAACCGTCTACTGCCCACTCGTACGTTCTCTTCGGCTCTGAATGCTTCCTGATTTATAGCAGAGAGGGCTACAGCGGTGAAGTCCTCATCAACGGCACCGTCGTGGGTGTGGACGAGCTGAGTGAGCGCAGTTGCTGCGTCCCGCAGAGGGACTTGCACCTCGACTGCTTCTCGGTCAAGGAAACGCTGTGGATCGCCGCCGAGCTGAAGTTTCCCACGTCTGGAGAGCGCAAAGACAAGTTCCGAGCTGTAAGCCTCGCCGATACTCGCTTGCGCTTTTGTTAAGTTAATTAGTAATTGTGAACTTGTTAAAATTTTGTCTTGGAGTTGAATGTTTGGGCTCCTGATCTCAATGAAAGGTAAAATGTCGTCATAATTATCTGTCACAACGTGTGAGAGATGGTGGGAATTGTTAGCATTAATCATCATATGGTTTACAGATTTCTTTTGGAACATATTACGGTCACCTATTTTCGCAATTACGGCATTTATATTTGTGTTTTATTTAAAAAGTCACCATTTGATGCAACTTTTATATCTAATATTAATCGCCATGCGTTTTACTTTAGTATACTTTTTTGAAAACTGAGCATTTAAAAATGATTTCTTTATTACATCATTACTCAGGCAACGCAGATGCCATTGGTGACATAAATAGACTGGTTGCGTAAAGTTAAAAATACAAAAACAGACAGGACTTAATACGTATATCTTTTTGAACGCGGTACACGCTTTAAGAGTCCGAAACTTATTCGGGAGTGTATAAGAGTGATATTTGCAAGGCGAGTAAATGTATTCATCTGCGTATGTGTTGCAACATTGACATGCGTGCTCTCTGATTGGCAGGTCGTGAACGCCATGGAACGTTGGGGCCTCATGGATGTGCGGCGCATACCGGTGTCTATGGTTAGCAAGACGCACCGGCGCCTGCTTACCTGCGCCGAGCAGCTCATTCGACCACAGCCGCTCATATTCGTCGACGATCCCACGAGGCATGCATCGCTTTTTGAATTGCCAAACTTTTTCTGCAGCCGAAGTACAATTGTTTGAAGGTGGCATCTCACGTAGCTCATGTCTTATCAAGGTGCTTTTTTTCTCGATAAAAATAAATAGGAGCTGCTGCCTACATCAAAACTCAAGTCATATTGACTAGATAACAAGCAACTCAGCTCCGGACCTAATCGGAACTTGGAAGTCCCCGTGTTTCCAGGCCTTTATAAGCATGAGCAGAGAGAAGGCGAACGTTGAAAGATAGTATCGCTAAAGGAGCATCGAAACATCCTAAGTTAAAATGTCCCATAATCAGTTAAAATTAGGCGAAGCAAAAAAACGTATTTATGGCATACTTGTTTTGATGACATCGTCACCGATACGTTATTAAAGCTTTGCACGTGACAGCTCGAATGAGCATACTGAGCCAGACTTTTGAAAAATAGTGTTGCTGTTTCAAACCAACACGATCAAAGTTTTATTAAATGAAAAGGTGGTTTAATAATATCTATCCCCGCCACTCACCGCTTTAATACAGGGCACGTAATGCATGTGCTCACGTACGCAGGAACGTGGACGCGACACAGGCGCACATCTGCCTACGGACGCTCAAGTATCTGGCGTACAAGGGTCACACGGTCATAGTCGTCATATCGAACCCTACATCCGTCATGCTCAAGTACATTACCAAGGTGAGTCAACTTCGTTTGTAGCCCGCCACTTACCGAGCTGATGAAGTCTGCGGGAACTATATGGGAGTTCGTGATTGCAAGGTAGCTTCACAACAATTCACCACCTCAATGCAAAGAACACAGCTCCACGGCATTACAACAAACTTTGTGTTTTTAGTGTTGCTTGGGTTAAATGCATAATAGGGGTAATACGTATGAAAATATGGTGTGATTACGTAAATGTTTACTTAAACCATCTGGCATATTAACCAGTAAGCGCTCTGGTGTTACGTGAATTCTGACTTGTTTTTTTTTTTTAACTTCTAATATCCGATCCCATATTTGGCGTTTTCTAGTTTTAATGTTGTTATGAAGTATATCACTGAACATAATCTTTATTTAGTTCTATCTAATAAATTTTGATTAGTTACACTGAAGCCATTGCAGCAAATTCTTCCTGCTGTCATTTTTTTCTCCCCTTCGACATGTTTTTCGACAATGTTATAGGTCAAGATCTAGTGTAATCAGTGTTCTCCACAAATTGGTAATAACTCTTAGTAATTAATATGGTTGGTTATTTTAGGTAATTTGGAAATATTGATAATGCAATTGTTTTTAATAACAGCCCAGCTGCCTGTAAGAGTACTGTTCGCATACATTTCTGCCTTTTCATATTGTCGTACGACATGGTTGCTCTACAGGCATAACACGCTTTACAGGCATGAGATTCGTTGTATTTGAATTCTGCATAGTATGTGATGTGTTTGCTGATGTCAAGAAGAGTCTTGTTAGTAAAAAAGTATCTTAATTTTAATGTCAATTTACGCTTATCTTTCTATACTTGATCAAAAAGCTGCAAAATTTAAGAGAGTGGTGGTGCACAGAACGCCAGCGCAATACGACAGAAGGTTCCACGGAAGCTGCGATATTCCACACTAGGTTCTACTTACAACGCAAAACCTTCACTATTCAATAGAAATAAGCGAATTCTTCCTGCTGTCATATTTCTGCCCCCCCCCCACCTTGACATATTTTTCGACCTGGTTATAAGTCAAGATCTAGTGCAAATAGTATGCGTCATAAATTTGTAATAACCCTTAGTGATAAATATGGTTGACAATTTTAAGTAATTTAGAATTATTGACTGTGCGATACTACTATTATGGGCAACTAGGATGTTAATAAACATGCTAGTCACCCATAATAGTAGTACTTGCATACATTTCTGCCCTTTCGTAATACAAAAAATGGGCCACATATCTGCATGTTTCACTGCAAATGTCGTCGAAAAACGATAGTCTTGCGTGTGGAGAGAGGGAAAAAAACGTCGATTTCGTGTTCTGAGCGAGAAAATAGGTGAAATGTATTCTGGAAGCCTTGCGTCAGAGAGTCTCAATCCATGCAGCGAAGGCGAACGAGAGCATCGAGGCACGTTAGACGCGAGCTCTCTCTGGCAGTTATCTTCGAAAACGAAAGGAAGGCGGGCGTGCCCGTCTTGAAGGCGATAAGGTGTATAACGTAAGGCGACGTGCAGGTGCCACCACTGTGTCGTCTTAGCAAAACATTGAAAACACTTGCCTTTTTGAGCATCGCAATACACTGTCAGCACAGCGTGATAAATGCTACGGTCCTTACAAATACTTATGTGTGCCTTTTTTGGTATAAAGCAGCACATACAAAATATTGACATGTTGTTATGGTTCCTGAAATATGCTCAATAATTGTTTTATTTGACTATGGCACAAGTATGCACACTGAATCTTGAGCAATATTGATGGGCGCTGTGGACAGGGCTGGCTGTTTGGCGTATGACTTCATGTCGTTTAGGACATTGTTATGGCAGACAAACAGACAATTGTACAGACATACAGAAAGGCAGGCAGACATATCAAAATTTTCGCATTGAAGTATCCCAAGAAAGACTATCGTCTTTAATAGCTTTGTCGTACGGCGTGGTTGCTCTACAGGCAAAGCACGTTCTACAGGCATGATGCGGATAATGTTGGAATTCTGCATATTACGTGATGTGGTCGCTGATGTCAAAAAGAGTCTTGTTAGACAAAAGTCTTAATGTTAATTTACTTAATGTCAATTTGTACTTATTGTACTTATTGTCAAAGACTTAATGTCAATTTACGTTTCTCTCTCCATATTTAATAAAAAATCTGCAGAATTTAGGAGAGTGGTGGTGCACAAAATACCAGCGTATTATGCGCACTATGAAAGAAGGTTCCACGCACGTTGCGATATTCCACACTAGGCGCTACTTACAACACAAGAACTTGACTATCCAAATTGCAATAAAACTTGTACTTGAAAAGGACACATGTGAAAGCTTTTTTTTTTTTTGCGCTGTGAAAAGTAATGTAAAACCATGCATCTCATACTTACACTGAGGGAGGGCCCTTAAGTTCCGCTTGATATAATTTTGGCCGACAAAACACCCATTATTGGAAGTTCTACTTTAATTCTTCTAGAAGGTATCGTTCATCGCCATCCTTTGTAACCGTCAGCTGTAGCTGAAACCATTTTATAAAGATTCTTCGTTAAGAGTGCGTGCTTCAGATGAACCGTCTCGTTTTAAGCATGACATCGAGGTAACCAGTGAACCTTGAGGTGCAGTATAGATATGAATTACATTTAAGACTTGACTAAAGACAAAAGCCATAGTTTAACCTTTCTGCAATGCACTACTCTGCACTAGTATCGCTTCTCAAGTATGACGCTTCGCAATTACATATATGCGATTACTTTCTCGTTCTCTGTTGTGCTGCCTACGTTATCGGTTGTAGTGCAGCATGTCAGTCTAACAGATATTAGCTACTAGGTTTACTACTAAGAAGATATCGAAATACTTGTGGGGAAAGAGTCAGCTTCGCAGAACACACTGGTAGAGCTTCAAGGCGGCCTCTAAAACTAACATGCGTTATGGAGTTTCTGCGTGTTTCTAGAGTACTTCACAGAGACCGCTCGTTATTTGTGGCTGTTAGTTTATTCATGGCAGCTGATTGCTACTTGACATATGGTTACTTTAGAAGGCAAGTTGAGAAAATGAGATGTTCCTCAGCATACAGTTGCGCAATAGTTGCGTAATAGTTGCGCAAGCACTTGTGCGTTACACGATTGCCTTATTTGCGAATGATGGCTCATGCACGCAGTTTGGTAAGAGTTTTGCGAAGTCAGAGACCGTACCTAAATAATATTGTTAGTAAATGATGAAAACGCGGCGGACTGTTTTTGAGAGTTAGGGCAAAGAGAGTTGGATAGGCGCTGGTTGATTACGATAACTTCCTGTCTGTCGATTGCACGTGCGTTCTTCAAGGAGAAAAGTAGTTCGCTTCTGGAATTGTTGAATGTTTTGCCGGCGCAAATTTCCACTGGTGAGCGCGGAGTCGGTCCAAAAAGCCGTGTCATTCTTTTATAGCACCGCATATTGCCAGACCGTGTAGCACGTTTTGGAAAATAGAGCGCAATGTTCGCACTCATTCAACGTACATGAACTTCAAGAGCACTCTTCGGCGTAGTCTGGTGCAGTTCACTGCACGTGAGACAGCTAACCATGCGTAATATTTTATCATGACTTCCACAACCTTGTCTGCGTCTGCCCTCCAAAGTTTCGCATGGCTTTCAACAAACACCGCCTCTTCTATAAGAGCTGTCTGCATCATCGTAAATTTGCATATACATAGACTCTGCATTCCATTTAGCCAGACAATCTGCATCGCAAATTGATGGTTAGAACAGTTCACGCGTTTTTATAATTGCTCTTGACAGAACGGTTTAGCTGGCTTACAGTTGTGTGCAAAAAGTGAAGGCAGAAAAAATTATCAGAACTTTCTTGCAACAGTGAAACGAGCTAGGTCATAAACTTCACGCACAGTTACGCTTCTCTTTCTTTTTCGTGCGTCATGTATAAAACACAACCAATTCACGTTAATGAAACAGAACGCTTATTAGTGAAAGGAGTTTATTGAGATCATTGAAGATACTTTCGGGAAAAAAACACGAGAGCTTTCCGCCCTAATTTTGCTGTATTTGGCAGCCAGCACTTTAAATATTCATTCGTTTTGTATTCTTACGGAGAAAACATGTGGGGTGAAAACAGACAAACTCGAAGCACCCCTGTGCCCGATGCATTCATCGTCTGGAGTTTGTTGTGCTGACTGCAATCACGCTCTTTACTTGCTGATAGAGAGAGTTAGGACAAGACAAGGCTGAAAAACAACTTGTGTAATTTTTGTACTTATTTCCAATATGATAATTTTATCGGCCTGTAAGTCGGACACGTGTCTCTTAATTAGGATAACCCGTGCGAGCCACTATACCTAGAAATGAGTATTACTTCAAGTTTGGTTAAACCTGTCTTCGAGACTGAATCGTAGAAGTTGCTATCGCGACAAAATTCGCGATAGCAATAAACAAACGTATAATAAACAAACGTATAAAAACTCTCGATATTCTCGATAACACTGCGGCGACTCACTGGTATTGACCCCTGCAGGCATGGATGATGGTGCACTTTGTGATTGATATGTGGGATTTAACGTCCCAAAACCACCATATGATTATGAGAGACGCTGTAGTGGAGGGCTGCGGAAATTTCGACCACCTGGGGTTCTTTCACGTGCACCCAAATCTGAGCACACGGGCCTACACCATTTCCGCCTCCATCGGAAATGCAGCCGCCGCAGCCGGGATGGTGTTGCACTTTTTAATAATATGTTAAGACACTCAATACTACATTCTAAGAAAGCGAATTAAGTAATGTGTTGGTTTTTGTTAGTTTTAGTAATTAATTGTGATCAGCAGGCAACTACTACTTCGCTGATGCGCAGCCAGTCATACTTCATTTCTAGATAAATAAGCGCCAAATGGCACTTTTTATGACAGTTGCCAAATGTATGCACAATCATTTTTTTATTTTTATTTATTTACGAATACTGCAGGCTCTACTCGGACCCAAGCAGGAATGAGAATATCATTGAAAAACGATACCATTAATAAGACATACAGATATTCATAACTTAATTCATAAACCACAATCAACAAGCAAAAAAATTAATAAAGAAAAAATATGCTTGGCAACAACAAACACACAATATTATAAGTGATAAAACATGCACGTACAATAATTCAACACATGAGATAAACACTATGCATAAAAAGTGAACGCCGGAATGAACTACCACAAAGCTGTTCAGCATAAACTACAACTTTGTATGTCAAACGAAAGGTTGTTGAAAAACGAAACAAATAATTCAGTTGTATAGCGTTTACTACTTTTTTGGTAACTTATTCCATTGTAATATTGCATGTGGAAAAAAGTGAATACCGATATATTTTAAGACTACTTAACGGCTGCTTGACTCTTTTGTCGTGGTTTGTACGACCAGACCACACAGGGGGCTCAGTTAAGTAGCTTACACGGGGAATTTTGTAGTAACCATGGTACAGCTGATATAAAAACTTCAAGCCAGATACAGTCGTGCAATGAGCTCGTTTTTTTTTTTCCAATTTGGCCCTGTCGCGAAGAACGGAGATTAGAAAAAAAAGCGAGTTTGTGGTGTATATAAACCTCGAGGCCGAGGTTTGCACTCTCTCTAATTTTCTGATGAACTACTTGGTTGCATTCATGTCTTACTTGGTTGCATTCATGTCAAGGAAAGAAAAGTAATACATTTGACGTTGCTTCCGGAACGCGGCACGTTGAGCCACCCATCCAACATTGTTATAGTGGCTGCACCAATGTTATCGCTTGCGGTCTTATGCGGCAACGCTCAGGTTAAGTAGGGACATATTTACTATGCAGAAGCTCAATTAATCTAACAAGGAATCTGTCTAGGCTCTTTTTGGTCCCAGTTTGACAGAACTAGCACAAACAAAAGGCGTTCACAATTGTGGCCACCACCGCTGAAGCAGCTAAGGCTTTGCCTTTTCCAATGTTTCACTATAGGTGTACGTTCTGGCCGAAGGCAGGCTCATCTACAGCGGCTTGCCGGCTGACATGCGGAATCATCTGGGTGCGCACGGGTTCATCTGCCCGCTGGAGGTGTCCATCACTGAATACCGTGAGTACAAAGTACAGGTGCCAATTGACAACACTAATTTCTCCCGCACATGTTTACGTTTGTAGAAGCCATGAAGTTACATGGGCACTAATGCAAATCCAGTGTGACGTTGCTATTTAGAAAATGCCACAGAGACACGCACCATATCTTACCACTATTAATTTAAAACTGCCAGAAAACAAGGTCTCTTAGTAGCAGCGAATATCCGTTTGAATGCCGAGTGTTTATAGCACTGCATAAACTTAGGGCATGTCAATGAGGAGGTAGTGTCGTTTGTGAATAGTTAACGATGGTTAATTTCATTTTCTGTTTCTCCATACATCGGACACCTTCAAAATATTTCAGGCATTATTTTATAGCGGTGCTCCGCCATCTGTTTCACGCCACCTGATGCCCCTCGCAACATAATTAAGGTTTTGTTTTCGAGTACAAAACATTTTGTACTAGACACTCGTATTCACCTAATTCAGCTTAAAGCAATCTTGCGCGACTCCTCTAGCCTTCCAATAGTGCCGTATAACGACCAGGAAAATATTGTAGTATATACTACTTGGGCCAGCGAAGGCTTCAAGGCTACAGTTTTCAGGTGCGACCTACTGAACGGCAACAAGCACTAGAACCCTTCTTCGTTGCAGGCACTATTCCGATGGGGATTACGCATGCTCACGTCTGGGAAAAGTTTGACGGAAATGCATAATACAAAAACAGAAAAATTTGGCAAGAGAAGATTTAAACATAGACGATACGTGCTTTTCTATATTATTAGTGTCTAGATCCTTCTGCGGACGTGTTATTTCAGCCGCATTGTCAGATTTTGTAACAGCAACATACTAAATGAATAATAGATGGCACTGAATCAATTTTGACCAGTCGGAACTTGTGGTTGGATGACCCGAAGAGCTGGTCAATGAGATCAAATAAAATAAGAAATTCGAACTTGCACAGAATAATTAGCTTGTCACCACGGTGACAGATCATACATAGGTCGTTGCACGAACAGGCCATAAATGCAAACAATGTTCCCGCTTTGTTATTTGGTGATTCCTCTATTTGCAGCCTTAACTTCATGTGCTAGAGATCTCGTCTGGTTATCGTTCATTCCTTTCATTTGTATTCCCTGTTCTTTTTAGGGGATTGCGCACGCCGGCTATTTCCAAATTGGTACGAGTAAGGTGAATGTTTAAGTATTAGCACACCCAAGTCCTAAAGTGTCAAGCCAGAAACCGTCTTACATGGTCATGTGTGTTAGAAAAGCGACTGTTTTCGGCTTGCTGCGAAAATTTTTAATCGCGCAACTGCGAAATGAAGCAGTGACCACTCAGCGCTAGATTTTGAAAAAAAAACACCTTATAAGTCTACTTCCAACCGGTCGCTTCACGACATCAATGCGCTAGAATATTTCCGACCACTTCGGTAAAACATAACTTCGAAAGTCGCTGATATGAACGAGCGCCATAAAGCGTGCTCTTCTCCTTTGAAATTAGTGCTTCAGGTGGCCGCTAAGATGTACGGGGGACTGCGCGCACTTGCCGAGACGGAGACGATAAAGGCGAAGGAGATGAAGCAGTCCGGGCCTTGTTCAGCGAATGGCATCCCAGAGAGTGGCCAGCTACAGAGTGTGACGGTGGAACGAAAAGGTTCCAAGGCGGGAGAGAGCGTAGATGCCAACGAAGAAGGCGGCAAGGCACCCGACCGGCGACGCAACAGCCTAGGCAACATATTCGAGGTCCGGCTTCTTTTCGCGTATTTTTAGGCGAAGCTCTTTCAGGTGGATGTGATGGCATTTGTGTTTCAGCGAGTTGAGAAGGCGTCGCAAGGGCCCGCAAGAGTTTCAAAAGGTGTCTTAATGCCTTGCAAGGTCTCACAAAAAAAAAAAAACGTGACCTTAGCTACTGAGTGATGACGTCACACTGAAATGCCACATATTCCCGAAATTTCTGGCACCAATGTGACGTCATGATAACGTTATAACTTGACATGGCCAGAGGTAGGTGGACCTCGGTGGCAGCGCGAAACCACGTGGTATACAGGAAGCTTACAATACACTCTATCCCAGAGGGGAAAAAAAAGCAAGTTAGGTGCAGAGACGTTTAGCGGTGGTGGGAGAAATGTCAATGCTAATGAATGAGAAGAAAATCAGGATGATTTTAGTTTTTACCTCATCAGACGTAGAAATAGGGCAACGTGTGATTCAGTGTCAACAATAAACGTTAAAGTTTTCAAACATAGCTGATCGCAAGGCTCTAGCTGTGACACCATAATTTCTGTGAATAGCTCTCGCAAAGACGCAACAACGCTGGCTCAAGCCGGGTGTTTCTTAAGTTCTTTTTTTTTTCATAGAAAACATCCTTCTTAACTTGTAGATAAAACATAATCCTCATTTTTGTAAACCATTTATTTGATCACAAGAAACTGTAGTTGGATTATCTTATATACAATATTTGTCACGTGCAATATTTTAGGCAATAACGCAAAAATTTTGTTCGTAAGAACACTGTCGCATAGAAGGGCTTCAGTGTTTATGTGCAATAACAAGCCTGAGAAATCTAAAATGACGGAGTTTTCTTAGCTTGTTAATTAAAATCAATGTTTCCCGTAGTGTTATTTGTTTCGCAAAGGTAGCACACACTTAAGCATTGTGAAGAAATCACACCAGCCTAAAAAATAAAAATATTTTCCCCGAATAACTAGTATCTTTTACGCGGCCATTGGGAACGCTAATCATATTATTTACTTATGCTTTTATTTTTCTTTTCAGAGTCGAGAAACCGTTGACAACAAGGACCTCTTCTCTCTTCTTTTCAACAGGTTCATCTTCTACACTTTCCGCAGTTCAGTAAGTGTGCCATCATCTTTTGTTTTCCTCATAATGAGCTCCCTGCTTGTCTTAATTCCCTTTTTTCTTTCCTATATCATTAAGTAAACGCACTTGAGCTGTTTAGGTAATGCCTGGTTAGATGAGAACAAATGTTAATTCAACAAAAATATAATAATTGACTTATAAAAAGTGGTAAAATACAGTATTAGTAATAAAATCTGGGGTTTTACGTCTGGGAAGTATGATAATTAGAGACTCCATAGTGGATTGCTCCTGAATTTTCTACTATCTGGTGTTTTTTAACGTGCACTCACATCACATAGTGCATGTTCTTATAGCATTTACAGCAAACATTATTAACTTAGGACTATCGTATAAACATCCCAGAAATGCAGCCTTAATGTAGGGACAAGTTTTCGTCTAGACCAGTTGTGTTCATCAAGGAAAACATCTTTTCTGGGAACGTTTATGGTTTCCTTCAAATATTCACATTTGCCGAATTCAGATTCATTTGCTTCCAGTTGGCACAATGAGCTTGACATCAGTTGTGGTAACCGAAGAAACGTGGACCCCACTAGCTGTCTTTCCTTTATATTCCTCCGATTTTACACGGCGAATTTTCACACTTTTTATGTTTGGTGTGCAGGTGTACATGTCATACAGACAGTTCATCAATATCTCGTTCATCGTCATCTTCGCGAACGTGTTCAACTCTGTGGGTGTCGAGCACAACTTCACCAACATGAACGTCGCTTTCGTCTTCCTCTACATGTCAGGCATGTCTGCATTCTCGCTCTTGAGCTCCACACTAAAAAGTAAGTACGCCCGACTAACGCTTTTAAGTGCGAAGCATCTCTTTGCATACTGCACTATCGGAGTCAAGTCTGTCTATCTATCTATCTATCTATCTATCTATCTATCTATCTATCTATCTATCTATCTATCTATCTATCTATCTATCTATCTATCTATCTATCTATCTATCTATCTATCTATCTATCTCTATCTATCTATCTATCTATCTCTATCTATCTATCTATCTATCTATCTATTTATTTATTTATTTATTTATTTATCTCTTTATATATCAATCAATCAATTAATCAATCAAGCCACCTACGTTTGGGTGCTATCATGCTCACCCCCTTGACTTGCGGTGCCCCAAAATTAGTATGGGAGGGTAAGGTGGTTTGACAAATATAACGCGCTGATCATGATACGAATAATGTCACAATGTCGTTGCGTGCGTCGTCAAACATTTTCCAAAAAACAGTGGCACATATCCGGAGGTGGGTACGTGCCACTGGCTATGTGTTACAGGTAATAGACAGTTTATATCTGCCCAGGAACGGCGGAAACACACATAGGTAACTCTAACACTTGAGCTTCAAAAAAGTTGCCATAGGCAGCGTTGACTGGACAAATTCAAACAATAAATGTCAGTGCCCCAGCAGGAATCAAACCCTAGCATTCTGATTGGCAATGAAATATTCTACTACAGAGCCACGCCAGGCATTAGGTATAGTTTTGAAATAGACCATGATGTTCGTGTAACGTCAATTGTGATTGCAGTACTCGCTATTTGATTTGAAAACATTACATATGTAATCCTATGTTAGAGTCGTCATGTTGCGTTAACGTAAATTGTATCATTTGCTGAAGTCAATTTGTGTAGCAATGTTGAAAAATACCGTCCTCGAGCTACCCCAGCGCAAATACCAGAGGTTCGTATCAGCTTACCGCTTTCGGTGTTGCTAATATCCACGAAGCTGTTGGTATCGTTGCGCACTACTGTAAACAACTGCTGATACAAAACATACGTGCCTGTTTAACGTACGTGTGTGCGTGGATTTGTATACTGTCGTCCTTCATGAAAGGGATCACGCGAACACGTGGCCTGCGCTCTGCGGCAGCTGCCCACAGCACCATCAACCGACAAGTGAAGAAAGCACGCTCGCTTTCAGCGTCATCTGTTGCAAAAAAAATAATATTAACGAGTAATGGCCGGTAGACAAGCACTGCTAAATTGCACTTCAGTGCGTAGTCCACTGCCAACGTATCAAACGTTGTGCGTGACCATGGCGCAAGCTGCAGTAATCGTCTGATATCGCTCGAGGGAACGTAATCTAGCAGCGCTTGTCTACTGGTCTTGACTAGTTATCTTGCTTGGCCATAAACGACGCCAAAAGCGAACATGCTTTGTTCACTTGTCGGTTGATGGCGCTGCAGGCAGCCGCCGCAGAGCGCAGGCCACGCGTTCGCGTGTTTCCTTTCATAAAGGACGACAGTCTACACATATTTAGTGCCACTTCAGAAAGTGTTGCTTAATAAAAAAATTTTAACACTTTCACCTTCAAAATGCATGGTTCACATAACATCGATTTCCAAGGTACGTGGGATCTGTGAATTTTTTCTCCCCCCCCAATAGACAGTCAAGACGGGGATGAGGAATAACGAGCCATTGAGTGAGTGAGTGATTAATTGATTGATTGATTGATTGAGTGAGTGAGTGAGTGAGTGAGTGAGTGAGTGCTCGATTGACAATATGAAGTGATAAGTAAAAATAGCGCTATTGTTTTAGTTGCCGTGTGAACATGTGTTTTTCGCTTTCATCATATATTCGTCTTTTTATATGAAAAATTAGTTGTTAGGAAGTGCTTGATCCATAACTTTCTTTGTCTTGATCCACGCTTTTTCGGGCTATTTTTTTCCACCATGACTTACCAACTCACCGAACAGTCTATTTTATGAATATGTAAGGAAGAGGGTAAGCGCTGCCTCTCCTCTTCCTCTCTATAATATCAATAACTCACGACTATGAAGTAGGACGATAGTTGTAGCGCGAAAACAGAACGACGACTAAGAGACTCTTTGTCGTCGTTCTGTTCTCGCGCTATAACTATAGTCATGATATACCAACTAGCCCAAACTGGTACTCTTATATGAAGTAGGGGTTCGATTGCAGGTATGCGTAGATTAAAATCGTGTGATGCACAGTGATATTATAAACATTGGTGAATTAGGAGGGTACAGCATGATCATGGTGTAGTTTCACTGCACGCAGCAAGGTGCGTGTAGCGATGGGTGGCCCGAGTGACACAGCGCTTTTTTTTTCTTCATTCAGCGCCTCTGCTTATCCAGCATGCGGTCCACGAGCAGCGCTACTCTCTCTACGGAAAGCAGGTCTACTTCCTGGCACGAATCACGTGTGACTTCTTGTATGAGGTACGTTCCTGTGTTTGTTAATACTTATCTTTTTTGTGATTCGTCAATACGCCTTTGCAGGCAGCCAGTAATCAACTTCAAAGTGCTCTCTACTTTTTCTTGTTAATTTTCGTGTTAGGAATTCAGTCGAAGCGCTAAAAGATGCACCCTGCGATACATATCAGCTTTGACGACGATAGTAGATTCGGACATTTACAGAGTTTTTCTTCAATGCGTAGCACTAGAATCGACACACTTCAATTTTGTATTGATAACAAGTAATGTGCTTGTAACAAACACAAAAAATGCTTTATTTCTGTTTTGGTGGGACTACTTACCACAGAAAAAGATCTTAACATGTTAAAGTGCACGTTAGAGAACACCAGACAGTAAAATTTCTGTATTGTTTCACTGTGGCCTTGCTTCAAAATAATATCGTAGTTTGGTACATGAAACTGCAGAAATTATTTTATGACTTCTCCTGGAAATGACAATCACCTAGAATTTTTAACGCGGACGTAAGTCTAGAACCAGGGGATTTTACCTCTTCGTCATGCCAAATTTTCTACTATTGGGTACGTTAAAAAGCATCTCCTTCTCTCTGTGCTGATCGCCTGCCTTCATTCGAACGCAGCTTATGTTTTCGGTGTCATCAGGAATCTTTGACTACTACCTGACACATCAACCAAAAGAAGAGAGCCGCATCTTCTACTTCCTCTGTTTTGGTCTCCAGGTGTCTGTGCTGGGAGAAGCCATAGGCACACTTATCGGAACCATCTTTGACTACGAGGCAAGATCATCTATGCTTCATAGAGACAGAGTTTGTCAGGGTGGCTTCCTGATATAATTAATTGGGTGTAGGAGTACGAACACCAAGGTTTACTGATCGAAGTGAAACTTTGGCAGACCAGCCTCACATACAATTTCTACACATGAATCTGTCTATGTAATGTCAAGTATAAAGTTTCAATCATTGAGACCATGGAATCTTTTTTTCTTCAGATAGTTGCAGCTTTGAAGATTCATTCTATTTCACTGCCATTAGGCATACACGGCTCCTTAAGACAGTGAGTCGGCGGCTTAAGCGCACTACACATACATCATCTTTGTTAGCAACGTATACCATTCAGATAGCGCTGCGCCCAACTATGACGACAATGCAGCAGCAAACACTTGTAGATTATTTACAGCTCCTTTTGTGATAATTCGTTGTAAATGAAGTAATGAAGTTATTGTTAAAGCTCACACTGTTGTTCGAGATTAGCTATGAACTGAATTAACAAAACTTATGCGTGGAAGCACTTTGTGTAACCAGCAAATGGCTGGTTGGTCGTAATATATAAAATTATTTTTCTAACATTTTAAATTTTTTAAATTTATTTAAAAGGCTACTCTCCTATGAAAAATATAACTTCATGTACGCCATAGAAACTGAATAAAAGCTCCTCGAGAGAACCGTTTTCAAGTGCTAGCGTTTTGGTAATTGCATAGGGGGTTTGCTATATGCTTACTAGTGGATCTGAAGTTTTTTTTTTTATTTCACAACTGTAAAAAAATTAAGCCATAGAACAGCACATAGAGACAGATACGCTTACCCTGTTTTACTAAATTAGGTGTCAAAACAGCCATTCTCCTCGTTTATTGTAGCAGTAGCAGTATTTTAGTGAAGCACACAGCGGTTAAAAATACAGATATGGCTCTGGCTCTTACAAGCACCTAAGCTATCTTTTCATCTAAGTACTGTTTAGCCTCAAACCTACATTTCCAATAAAATGTGACAATCCATTTCCCGTCTGCATTATCTTGCTAAATTTATGGTGTAAAATGCAGCCCACAAAGACGACACACAAAAGAGGGAGGACATGGAACAAGCGCTGTTGCGTTTGTCGAAGCGCGTTTTTTTGTGTCCTCCCTGTTTTGTGTGTCGTCTTTATGCACTGTATTTGACACCATAAAGCTTACCCAATTTGCCCAGTTTTGTACGCTGCTTGCTAGATTGTACCCTTTGGTTACAGTTAATACACGTGTCATTCGCTCGTTGGTGCTTTTTTATTATCTCCTTCAGTTGGGCTGCATGGTGGCCGTCACAGTGTTCGTCTACTCGGTCACATTCGGCGGCTACTTCTTCACCAGCAAGCAGCTGGCCACCCACTGTGGCGTGGCTTGCCAGTTCACGTCGTACCTTCGCTACGCGTTCAGCGGCACCATGACTGCCCTGTACGGCTGGAAGCGTGGCAACCTCACCTGTCCAACAGAGGCCTAACAACACCTGCCCGTACGCCACGGCAACCGATGTTCTCGCCGCGTACTCCGTTAACGAAAGCGAGTTCTACATCGACCTGGTAACGTTGTTCATCGCTATACTAGCCGTCTGGATGGTTGCCTGCCAGTTGCTCATCTTCAGGATCAAGTGGCGCCTGTGAAGCGGAACGAGTCGGTGCTGAATTTACAGAAACGCCCAACGTGGCGTCCGTTGAGCTCGTCGTTGTGGTCATGTTTGTTGACCGTGTGCTCACAATCTACCTATCTGTCATTTACGATATGTAAAAGAAGTGGTAGAATAAAGGCCTGTCTCTTTTTTTCTTACTGTTCGTTGCCCTGTATGCTAGACGTGCCAATTCTCTGTGCTCTAAACATTTCAATTTATTTCCCATATGTAAACACGCGAGATATATCCAGAGGTTTAAAAGTGGTGTTTGTTCAGCACCTTTTTACGTTTCCCTCTCAAGTGGCAAAAAAAAAAGGTTGCAAAAGTACACTCACAGTTCCCTCTGAGAGCTTTCTGGCGTGTCGATTTGCGTTTTGATGACTTACACATCATGCAGCGGTGCGTATGTAACAAGCTACTACGTGCGAATGAAGTCTGCTACAGAAACGAAATCTAGGCTATTGCGATACTTCATTACTACAATGCTTGCACGGCCACTCAATAAATTTTAACGAACGGCCACGGTTCTTCTATGCTTAGCCTACAAACTTAGTAACGGAAGTGAGCGAATATCTATTAGGGCGTAGTAAGCAGATTCTGTGTATGTTTTCGCAATCAGAATCGACAGATATGGTCTGCGACGTCAGCCATTACCTGTCAAGACACTTCGAAACGATATAGCCGGGTTACCTGTCAAGCAGCAGGACGCATCTGACGTCGTATTCTTCACATAAAAATTGTACAAGAAATACATTCACGGCGCATGTTGGGCAGAGATGACCTCCGAGGCGAATTGTTGCCGCTGCCATAACGCGGGGTACGTCAGAGGCTCGCTGCCGCCGCGGCTGAGGTCACTCTTAGACTATTGCAAGCCAGTGCGCATGCTAACCCGGCGGTTCTTCAAGCCATGTATCCTGAACGGTATCCAAGTGCGGATTGCCTCGCCTGTGGACT